CACACTAAGTAAATACAAAGGAAATATTTATTAGTAGTAGTGTTACCTATTCTAATTTAATAGAATAGAAGAAGTCATACAGCGCCGCGATCTTAAAGCAACTGGATCGAATCATTGAGATATCAAAATAGACATTGGTTGAACACCCATGTCACAAGATTACCTACCTGAGCCCAGAACTTGTGACATCATCTTAACAAGAAACTATTACTCGTATTTTATTCATATTTATTATTTGCATTATTTTTAAGATTTTTGAGAGATGCCAGGAAGACATTATATTATTTTGATTTTTGTGTTGCTGACCTAAAAAGAGGCTGCATTTATATTTATTTTATTATATTTGTATTTGCATTTTTATATAGCTATCATTGACCAGTACTTCGGGAAAGCTTTGATAGTTATCATATTTATTTCGTTAAGTTTCTTGTTAAAAGTTATGTCCAACCCTATTATTTTAATATTTGATATTTGAATTATAAGTTTTGATAGTTCAGTAGTCCGACCTTTCAATTGAACACAATCACTCACTATATTTCAGAAATATCACCATAGGAAATGACTCTGAAAATGGTGACAATATATAAAAAAATTATTAATTTTTTGAGAAACTTATAATTCATCAAGATAAAACAAATAATAATATCAAAAAAAATACTTATTGCTATGTTAATATTTGTTTATTTATTTAAAATTTTGATTTATTTTTATTTTTATACAATATTTCTAGAAATATTAATTTTTGAATCAAAAAATCCAGTTTATTAGCAAACAATCAATTTTACATATTCTTTTTTTATTTACTATTCTAAAAAATATTATTACTTTATTCTCTAATAAATAAAGTTATAATTTATTTATAACATAACTAAAATCAAATAATAAATAAAAAACTTTATATCTCTTGATATAGATAATTAATAAAATCTATTAAAATTGTGATCTGTTAATTTATAATTTTAAGATAATATATATAATAAAAAATTAGACTTTTTATGAATTTTGAATTTATATCAAGTTTTGTTTTAATTAGTTTAACTTTATATCTTAAGTCTACACAAATTTTGTATATAATTACAGTCAAATTTCTCTATAATCACCACTCTTGGGAAAGCAAAATTTGGTGACTATAGAGAGGATGTGACTATAGAGATTTTTTTTTACTATATTTATATATAAATGGAAAAGTAAAATAGGGTGATTATAGAGGAGTGTGACTATAAATAGATATGACTATAGAGAGGTTTGACTGTAATTGCTTTTTTAAAGTTTTGTTACTATTTAATTAATAATTGAATAAATTAAATAAGAAAGAAAAATAAAAAGAAAGAGAGGTATATACTTTTTGCACTATATTTTTATGTCATAATATGCACACATTTTTATATGTAATTTTTGTAAAAAAATAAAAAAAAGTAATGTTTTTTTTCCTTTCTTTTCTTGATATTTTTTCTATAATTGATTTATTAATCATTTTCTGATTATTTCAAACTAGTACTTGTTAACTTTAATAATAATAATAATTGTAACAGATTAAAACGAAACCAGATTAAAACGAAACCAGATTATAATAAAATCAAATCAAAATAAAATTTGGATCTATTTTTATGGAATAAAAATTTCAGAGAAGGGTTAGGGTTAGGTTAGAGCATAGGGTATAGCATTAAAATCTGTAGTAAATTGACCTATGATTATTTAAACATCACACTCTGTTTCGTTTTAATCTGGTTTCATTTTAATCCGCCACAATAATTAAATAATAAAAAAAATCATCACAACCAAAGTTTCCAGTCACATCACCATCATCATTATTTAAGATCTATTTTTGGAGAAAGCATCAATGTCAACGTTTACGTTACTATTATCAATATCGTCACCATTAATTTACCAACAGCGTGAATCAAACTATCCTTAGGGGAGTGACATATATTACGTAATGATTAGGGAGGGAGGGGGTCTCAAAAATCTCATCTTCCACGTGATCAAAAATAATTAGCCAATTAAATATAATAAAAATCTCACCTTGGAGGGGGGGGATACCTCTATAGTAACTCAATGTAATATATGTCACTCCCCTTATCGCCATCATCGTAAAAATTATCTTTCAATTCCTATGGGAAGATCACGAGATCCTATAATTGTCGAATTTTATTGGCTGATCTTATACATTAGTACTTCACGAAAAAATAAAATCGATGTTGAGTTTTTAACCCACCACTGGGATCTAAATTCTCTGCCTTAACTCAAGGGTTTAAACTCATTTAGTAAATTTTTCATTTACGTTTAGTCGAAAGAACCATGTTCGCGAAAAATATTTCCAAGTTCATATTCCCGTGAATTTGAATTGCGTCGATCAAACTGAGATTATTTTATATTTGTCTTTGTTATAGACTAACAACTGGATGCATATACTTGAACGATTTCCTAATAAAATATTAATTACAAATTTTGGCTATCTTTGAAAAAATGCAAGTTCCCATGCTTGATGCTATCTATGCAACATATTGTGTAACATTATAACCACAAATACCCACCCTCAATGCATAAGTTCAAGTTTTTGACAGGGTACCACTAAAGGCAGCGCAGCAATTTCCAAACCATACTCAAGACTCAAATAATAAACAAGTGAGACTAAGGACATTGATAATCTATCCAATCTATCGATTGACGATCGCGCTAATAAATAGAGCTCTAGTCAGCAAAATACCGACATATCACACTAAATAAAAGACTTTACATGGATGTTTTATACATCGTACGACATAGAATTTGCATATGGATACAAGCATCATAACCATTCCAATAACTCAATCACACAATAAAATAAACGAATGAACAAAAACAATACACCCGAACAACGACAACAACAAAAGTATAGCAACAATCAATTTATTGATCCATTCTCGATATAGTTAAAAAACAATAGATAAACAATGACAACTTGAAGAAAGATATAATATAGGACGATAACCTACTTTGTTGTACTTTAGAAATAATACTTGTTTTGGTAAGAGATGAGTTGTAGCGATAATAACTGTTTTTGCCAAGTAGCGATAAAAACTATGTGAAAGACCTAAGAACCCACAAATTTGATTGGCATTTTAAGAAAAATGCCTGAATGTAAGATATGGAGAAAACAATAGATATTGATATGTAAAATTCGTTATAAATGTTTCGTTATAAAAGGAGGTTGTAGGGGAAAAAATTTAATGTAATGAATAGAGAAAAATTTTTTTTGGTTTATATTTTTTAATTTTTTTTAAATTTGAGATCTTGATTTCTGAATTGTTGCTCTTAATTTCTGTGAAAATCTTATAATCACATGAAATACATTGGAAAATTTTGCGCAAGCGATGGAAGCACTTGCCGAAATTCATAAGTATTGTCTTTATTTCTAAGTACATTGGTGCGCGCGTGTTTGGCGGACAAATGAGCATAGTATACTGGAGGCGGAATGGAAACTGATCGCGTCGCACGTTGATAATTATAACAGAGTTTGTAGGTGAAATTTTGAAGGGTATCGACATTAAATTTATTTTCATCGTATAATATGATGTAATGTGCAGGTCGCGATGTTCCTTGAAGACTGGAGTGAGAATATAAATAAAAATCGAAGAGATACGGATGCGTGATCTTTTGATCGATGATCGTTCCAGGAACACAATTTCCATTTTTATCAGTGTTTCTTCTGTCCTCTGCGTTTGCACGAACATGATGTCTTTTACCAACGATGATAAAAGTAATTGGAGGATCATAAGTTTTTTCCTTTTTGGTTTTTCCATCTATGTCTTTGAAATCTTTACAAGCATCTTTAATAGCCTTCAATTCACGTTCAAGAACCATTTTATATTGACTCTCAGATACACCATCACGATACATGATGATCTTTTTAGGCAAGAACCGATTCTTTTGTTTATATTCCGTCAACAGGTCTTTGGCAATTTGTTGCATTTCCTTAATTTCCTCGTCCGATACAGTTTTCGTAAACCCCTTGGAGTCTTCTTTCGTCCTTTTTTGATCGTAGTGTCTATCAATATATCTACTACCATGTTGATCAACTGAAGCGACAACTGAACAAATTGAAGGGAAATCCTCGCTGTTTTCACCGGTCGGATGTGTAACGTCGGCACCCAAAAGCATGACAGGTTCTTTCGTAAGTTCGGGAATTTCAGCCGTATCGAGAATTGAATTGGTTCCACCAAGCTTCAAATTCATTTTCAAAGCAACGTTTGCGCAATAAGAAGGACCTTCCTGGATATTGTCGGCGACGATACATTGCGATGGTAGGCCTAGAACTGTACTAGTCGTGAATTTTATATCGCGATAGAGGCTCTGATTCAGTGGACGATCATAGACTGGACGTGGAAACATTTGCCTCTTTCTCCTCTGAACTTCTGGAGGTAGAAGAAACAAGATCATTTGCGGTTTATTAGGAAGGAATTTTCTTGAATTATGGTATTCTCTTTTAATTGTTTCCTTAAAATCTCCATTTGTGTTTACATATATGATCTCCGGTTGATCCATTACTATTTCCATTCCTTGACCGCGGCAAGTATTAACCAACGTAACGACGAAGTCTTCGACAGCCACACGAGGCAAGTATCTATCCTGAACACAGCATATGACAAACCAATATTTCAACGGAATGCCACTCTTGATGAATTTTCGTCCACGAAGATTCCAACCTCCATTATTCGGTTTGAGTTTTGGACCGTCTTTAGAAGACGAATGATAAGCAATCATAGGAGGATCCAAAATTCGACCGGGAGTCACTGCCATTTGAGTATCGACTACTACTCCGAAATCATCAAGTTTTTTATCATTAGTAAAATCCAACACACGACCGATACCTTCTTTCAAGATGGTATCCATATTCAGTTTAGGAAGAACTGCGGTGAAGGTTATCATTTTTGCGAGTTGATCGCCATTAAGATTAGTCAGCTTAACACGTTGTCCCTCGACAATTTCACAGCATTCAAGTGGCCAAACTTCTGTCTTTCTTGCCTGAATTTCCACCACATGAGGGGATTTAAGCGCGATCTTGTAAACATCTTTGAAATATTCCTTTACATTCGTAATTTTTCCCGTATCTCTAAGCGTAAATGTATGTTCTACTGCTTTCTTTTGCGAAATGCGCCAAACTGATTGTTTAGTTTTGATGTTTGGTCGATGTAGTGGTCTGACTTTCAATCCGGTAAGGGCTCTGTTGATTTTTTTTTGTTGCTCAGTGTTAAAGGTCGCAGGTAAATCACGAAGACCAAGAAATTCACACAAGAACGTAACCAAATCTTTTCTTTCGTAGAATACAGTGTGAGTACGGTTCACGTTGACAAAGAACGATTCTTGCCCGGGACGGACACTCTCGAAGAAACCTGCCCATAACTCAAAACCGCCACCTAACGATCTACGAGTATTCGGATCCAAAATCAAATCTCTGAATTGGAAATATCTGGAAGAAGGGCTGGTATGCATCAAATCATTAAGCGCTTTCAAGCTTTCCATGTTGAAGTAATCCCAACGAAAAGATTTCGCTTGCACGTAAGTATGGAGCTCGTTGAGATCAAGCGGATCTTGCAACTCCAAAATTTGCACCAAGAACTCGCTCGGTTTGCCCCGCAAATCCTGTTCGTCGTTGAGCAATACCGAGCTATTGAAGACGTTGGTTTTCATGTTGATGCGTTTATCGGTGTATAACGTTCTTTCGCCATCGAAAATGTACGAAACGTTTTGGAACAATTCATTACCCTTTTTCTTTTCCAATTCTTTAAATACCTTACGCTTGATTTCTACTTTCGGAGGTTTTGGCTCTCGTCGCGCATCTGAACGCGGATCGGAAGCTCCTTCCGCGCCTTCTGCTCCTTCCGCTGGTATAAAAGGTTTTTTGATTTCGACTGCATATTTGATCCATTTGTCCGCTTTCGGATATTTTTTCAATTCAAAGTAATTGACATGAAATACAGCCTTACGACCCTTGCTCCCATAGCCAGGTCGTTGATAAGGTACAAGCTCAGACATTTTTGTAGGTTTTTTATATTTTCTTATGGATATTTAATTGTGGGCTCTTATAGTGAGGTAGTTGCTTGCTATATTTTAATAATTAAGGGTTTCTTTGGCTCTTGACTTTTGCCGGTTGTTACTGAGAACAATAAATTAAGCAACAAAAATATTTTTTAAGACGAAAGTACGGCATATAATACAACCACTATAATATATAATTTATTGCAGAACAACCACCAGCATATAACTAAACACACACACAACCAACTAACCGTCTTAATCGTCTTAAAGAGCCGCGGTATAGAGTAAGTTGTGGTGGGAAGAGGGTGGCTATATATAGATAGAATAGATAGATTAGCTACTGCGTTATAATAATCAGCTAGATCCCCGGAATCAGGCATCCGTAGATACCGCAGTAGAATAAATTTTCTACGAAATTCCAAGAAAAATGATCATCGCAACAGTAGCGTGTAATAAGCATGGGATCATGGGGCAAATGTTTTACCAGCAATAATAACGATAACAATAACAATTTCTTGTGAAACATTGCAAAAAATCACCGTAATAACAAAAACTTGTTTTTATTACTATCGCTATGGTGTGGGAAGTCTAAACTCTACAATAAAAACGATATATTTTTAAAATCTTTCAACACTTTACAAAAATGGAATTTAACCAGTAACTTTATTTAAGATAAGTTCTATTAAACTACCGGTCAAATTTTCAAAAGAAGTCCTATGGAACTCTTAAGTTCTACAAAGTTACCGATCAGATTCTGAAAATTTTGCCTCTATTTGAAACATATTGTTTTGATAGATTTTTAATACTCTATTTTTATTGGTTATTTCATATATTATATCTTATTAATCTACATTTTATATGTATATTTTTATTGGTTATTTATTTTGCATATCAATGTAACAGATATATTGAACTTTCTATATCTTGAACTATTGAACATTTGAATTATTAATTTTTAGAGATATTGAATCTTTGATATTTTGAATCATTGATCTTTTGAATTATAGAATTTTTATTAGTTTAATGTTACAGATATTTAGAGATCAATTTTATATATAAGTAATACTTTACTTGAGAGATTTGAACTTAAATAAGTTAATTATCTTGATAATTCCCCTTTGATTTTGATTATAGACTTGAAATAGTTTAATAATATTATTATTATTGTATTATATACTTGTATAGTCTATATGTAGAGCACCAACTAAGATAACAATAATGAAAAGTATAGTAATAAAGAAATCTTGTTAATAAAAACTATCTTAAATTTATAATTTAAATTATCCTAGTATCAGTTTAAATTATTATAATATAAAAATTATTTTATTTCATTACATATAATTAAAATATTATTATTTATTAATTGATTATAAATCATCATCAGAAAATGAGAAGTTTATGAATAACAACATTGCTTTATAATTTAAGTTATAAAATATTTTTAATATAATCTAAGTCAATTATATGATTATAAATTATATAATTATAAAATTATGATTATTAGTTATATAATTTTTATAATTTATATTATTATAATATGAATATTAGTTCTTATTGATCAATTTATATCATAAATTTAATTGGATAATATTTTATTGATTAATTTTATATTGTTATAATTTGATATTTTACAAAGATAATTATTATAAATAATTATTGCAAGTAATTATTCAAAGTGATCACTTTAAATAATCATTTCAAGTAATCACTTCAAATAATCATTTCAAATGATTATTTCAAGCAATCATTTCAAGTGATTACTCCAAGTAATCACTTCAAATAATCATTTTTTATTTATTAATTACTTATAAATATTATATGTATTTTAACTAGAAAAATCAAATAAGTTCTTTAGATAAATTAATAATTTCATTTTTATTCCTTTTAATAGTTTTTGATATTATTATCATTTTTAATTCTTATATATGAGAATATTTAGAATAGTTAATAATGAATATATTTATAATAAATTTTAAATAAGAAAGATATAATTAATAATTATGAATAATTGATAATGACAAATTAACGAGAATATAAATATGAAATAAATATTAAATGTATTTGAGTAATAATAAAATAATATTAAAATTAAATATATACTATAAATTAAAGTTAAAAGTATATTATAAAAAATAAAAAATGATATAATAATAATTGAAAATGAACAAAGATAAAACATAAATAAACAAAAAGAAAACAAAGAAAAATAATAGAAAAATAATAGAAAAACAAGAAAATAAAACAAATAAAAATAAAGCAAACAAAAAAAACAAATAAAAATAAGTAAGACAAGACAAAAATTAAAATCAGGATATAATCTTCTTAGTTAATCTCATATTATATATATAACAAATTTAAGTTATGCTAATTTATATATTATTTTTATATATATATTACAAAAAAAATTAATAAAAGTATAAATTTACAATATGTTAAAATATTGTGAAATATTAGAAAGAAATTTATATAAAATCTATATGTTGTTAATTAAATTAATGTAATAAGAAATAAAATAAAATAACAATAAGATTTAGAATATAAATTAATATAAAATTACTATAAATTGATTGGTTAATTAAATGATAATAAAATCTAAACTAAAATGATGTAATAAAAATAAGGAATAATTGAATAAAAATATAAATTATTACTATTAAATAAAAATAAAAAAAATATAAAATATAGAAAAGAAATAAAAGATATTGAAAAAAATATTATTGTATTTTTGATAAGAAATACATATTAAAAAAATAATAAAAGATAAAATAATAATAATATAACCTCTCATTTTAATTGTGAAATTATTATTATTATATTTGTTTTATAATTTCTCATCTTAACTATAAAATTATAACTCTTGTATTTGATCTCTCATCATTATTGTAAAGTCATTATTATATTATTAAAAGATAATAAATTATTAATATTTAACTTATTTATAAACTGAACTTTAAGAATATAATTATCTTTAAATATTTCTGATCTTATTCTAGTTAATTACAAAATAAATATATATTATTTATCTTTAATAAACATGAATTTATAGTGCATATAAGCTGAAATTGATTAATCACATGATCTTGTTTCAATTTTCAAAATTTTCAATCTAAAATTTTAATTGATCAAAAAATTGATTTAAAATACTTTTTAAAAAAATTACATGATATATTATTATATTGCGAGTTATAGAAAAAAAGCAAACTTAATTAGATATATCAGTAATATATCATTAAAATACTAATATAACTAAAGATGGCGTGGCAACTGTTGCAACGTGATGACAAATAAAGCATCACCTAGTTGCAACTAGTTGCGGCTTAT